AAAACATTCAGCTTTGATATTAATGAGTTTTTTGGGTTCATTGAGAACATGGTTGTTGTTCAATAATAAAATTATTCCTCAAAAATACAACTTGTCTAATAATTCTGCACTCCCTGTATAACTACAACTGTCAGTGTCTGTGTGTGTCTGTGTGTGTGTGTGTTTCCTGTGAATTCGCTCCTCCTTTTCTGAGCCGGGAGAGCAGACAGAGCAGCCTAGCGTGGCGGGAAAATGAAGTCTGTCGCAGCGTCAAGGTGGGGTGAGTGTGTGTTCTGCATAAAGATTAGCTGTAATGAAACAGAGGGAGGAGATTCTGGCTGTTGATTGGCTGGCTCCTCGGTGGCATCTGTGGGTTTCTCACCGTTTACCTTCTGCCTCTGAGATCTAAATGTTTGGGTGCTCTCTGTTTCACTGAGCACTGCCAGCTGATAGAAAACAGCTGACCTCTAAGGATGCTTCACGTCTCTGATATGATTCAGACTACACTGTGAGGACACATGTTACTGTTAGTTATTAATATAGACGATAACCTGGACTGGGTCAAAAACATCGCTACCCTCTGCAGGAGGGGTCAGAGTCTCTGAGGTCTGTTAACATCTGCCAGACAATGCTCAGGATTTTCTATGAGTCTGTTGTGGCCAGTGCCATCCTCTATGTTGTTGCATGCTGGGGCAGTAGGTTGAGGGTCACAGATGCCAACAGACTAAATAAACAGATTACAAGGACAGTAATGTTGTGGGGATTGAGATGGACTCCCTTAGGATTGTGTCTGAGAGGTGGCTGTTGTCCAAGATAAGGGCAATGCTGGACGATACCTCCCACCCACCCCATAAATGATTATTTGAGGTCCTGGTTCTTAGCAGCTGGAAGCACTTAGGGTTGGGTTCTCTTCTGACCTCTGACCTCAACAAGGTATTTTCTCCCAGAGAACTGCTGGATAATTTCCCCATTTTCAGACCTTCTTTCTAAACTTGTACAGCATGAGTCATTGGCCCCATTCATATCAGCACTGTTTCTATCTAACATCCATACATGTTCATGCTCTGATGGATGCATTTCAAAGCAGCGTGGAGTTAGTGTCGTGCCCAAGGATTTTTGGCATGCAGACAGAGCAGCCAGGAATTGAACCGCCCACCTTGCGATTAGTAGATGACCCGCCCTCCCTCACCCTCAATCCCAGCAGATCGGTGTTTTCTGAAACACACACACCGACAGCCATGACAGATTCAAACTCACCTAAATCACCTTTCTTCATGAATGTTTGGACTTCAGCGATTTGTTTTCATCATGTCTGTATGCCTAAATGAGCTGCTGATGTGATTGGCTGATTACATATTTAACGAGCTGCTGAACAATTGTGCCTAATAAAGTGTCTTGCTGAAGGAGCAGCAGCAGGCAATGACTGGGCTGTTTGAGCTGCTGTTGATGTGCTGCTCAGTGCAGTCGCAGATGTTCTCTGACAGAAACACGTTCATGAACCAAAGTCTGCGATAAACCAGTCGAGACCAAACATTCAGGTTTGTAATATTAGCAATGAAGGCTACACATCTGTTGTTCTTCTGCATGTTTCTGTGGGGAGGGACGAGCCAGAGCCAAGATCAGTGATGACTTCAGTAATAATTAGGTTGAACACTGCAGGAGCCCCAAAGCCACCATTACTACCAAGTATGTGAGGAGCAGGATTATTAACGTGGATTTAACAGGAAGCCAGTGAAGAGAAGCAAATATAGTTCTCTGTCTGTTCTCTGTCTAGACCCTGTCAGCACTGTGCTGCATAATAATAATAACAATAATAATAATACTACTACTACTACTACTAATAATAATAATGTGTGTTAAGGGTAAATCTAAAATGACTGCAGCAACACACTCAGAAATTAAAGTACAGAAATGTACCTATAGGGGTACAATGGCTTGTCACTGGGGTGGTACCCTCTAAGGTACCGATCTGTACCCTAAACTGTGGGTACTGATTTGTACCCTTGTAATTTGTACCTTTTACACGTCAAACCTGTACTTTAAAGGGCAAAGTTGTACCCTTAGTATAAAG